TCAGCTTTAGAAATTATCTTAGATTTCTGTTAAATAAAATGCAATTTGTGCAAATATCTGATGTTTTTCCGGCGGAAGAATTTAAGGTATATTGTTTGTAAACAATGAGGCCCCAGAAGGAAAATTCCCGTTTGTAAAAGGAGAATTTCGAGCCCGAGATAAACTCATCTGATAATAATTCACCTGTTACTCTCACAGTCAGTGTAAGTGCAGTACAAGCTTATCTTTTAAAAAGATTGGTGAGCTAGCGCTGTAGCATAATAAAATACAGAAGATATCTGAACCATTTGTTAAATTTGCTGAATCGATTAATTATTAATAAGAAGGCACATTGGAGCACTGGGGGGTTGAGTCGGGGGGTTGGGGGTGGGGGTGGGGGGTCATAATTCAGAATGGTAAATCTAAGAGTGGGCTTCACGTCGGCAATGGCATAACTCCTAACTGTGCTTTAAGCATTCTGTATTCTACTGTAATTTCAATTTGGAGGTGAAAAAAAAGGTCAGTAGAACCAATGAGCACCTAGTTTAAAATATTCCAGTGTGGTACTGTATTTTAGCAATCGCAACTTCTCGGAACTTTCCGGCAAGCTCGGTAAACATATCCGAGGTTGCGGCGATTTTCCGAACTTGCCGGAAAAATCAATGAAGGTAAATTAGAAAAGCTAGGTATTCATTACAATTTTAGAAATAACAGTCTTCGTTTTTATAAGACCCGAGTAACTGTTACTTTTTGTTCATTTACGTGCAGAATAGACAACAAAACACGAAACTTCAGATCATATGTATTTTCAGATGATAAAAACTAAACTGACATGTCTTTCCGACATACCCTGAAAAGATTTTTTTTTCCGAGCTTGCCGAAATTACCCAGGAAGGTGGTATAACTGTGAGGAAAGCTAGATGAATCTTGGCATTATATGACCTAAGTTTTTCTTGTACTTTTATGTGTAGGTTCGACAATAAATAAAAAAAAATCAGAATCCGGATCTAGACTGGTATTGCCTGTCTCTAACGTCAGAAATGAAAGGCTAGTGTAAATTCTGACCATATCTATATTTGTATGACAAAACGAAATTGTTATCGCACAGTCTATCTACAGTAGTTTTCCCAGAATGCCCGACCGTGAAGTTGAGCATGCGTAATCCAGAAATATAGACTAACGTAGTTGCTAGCACTCGAGAGCGCTAGCAATCAAGAACATAGAATCAAGACACTGACGATTCTCCTGAAAAGAAGTTCAATTACTGGTTACACTTGATAATCTGATTATTTGATTATCCCCGTAACTATTCATATAGGGATCTGTGAAAACAGATCATAGTGAACACAATTGATTTGAATAATTTCCAGTACTGCTGAGTAAGAGTCACAACTTAATTTAAAAAAAAAAAACCAGGAATTAACTTTTATTCACTGTGGCGTGTTTAATGGCCGGTTGCGTATCTCGGATTTAAACCTCCGATCAATGATTCCAGGTTTAAATCCAAGTTTACACGTTGCACACAGGTAAGGCTTGGCTGAGTACAGCTCAGAATTACGGTAAATTCTGAACCTGGTATAGGGGTGGTTTAAACCCAGTTTGATATCGTTTCCATGGATTTTTGGTAGAATATCTTGATATTTTGAACTGTTTTGATGTTCCAGAAATGTTTTATGGTGACGATGATTGTATTGAAAGATTTCGCCATATTAAAAAGGCTATTCTACAAGAAATTTTTTTATGGTCATATTGAAGATTTTTTTTGGCACATTTCTTCAATGTGTCGTTTTAAATAACACTGATGCAGCTGAATACTGAAGTTACTAGAAATTTTTAAGTGGGAATTTATTCGGGTACACAAAAAGTTATATAAACTTTCTCATATACCAAATTTAAATCAAATTACGAATTTCACACTTTCAAACAATGCAAACAGCTGGTGATACACATTCCAATAGTTTCTAATAATGCCGAACCGAATTTCTTAGAAATTAAAAGTTTATTTTTTATCATTGTGTAGGCTATCCACATGGCCGTAGGACCGGGGGGGGGGGGGCTGCCCAGCCTTAATAATTTTGCCGATATATAGAATACTCTAGAAAATATAGCTAATGTATGATTGTGCCTTCTCAATAATAACGTATGATGACTTTTTTTTTAATTTGCCTGTCAAGGATATTTGGGTTGTGCCCCACAACTAAAAATGTTTGGCTGTGCCCCCCCCCCCCCCCCCCCCCGAAAATGCTTACGGCCTGATCCTTGAAAACATGACAACAAACTCACATTTATCAATACTTGTACCGAATTGAATGTTTCACTGGATTGCTGCCTATATGAATAATGCCCAAATAATCTCTTTGTTACATTAGTTGTATATCAAACTAAACATTCTAAACAACTAAGTACTAATGGCTTGATATCTACAGAAAAGGTATCATCTGATATTAAATTGAAAATTTAAATATATACATTGTTCCTACCTCTGTCTTAAGTTTTGGTATTGTTTCTATTTTTACTTATTCCCAAGACCCCCCTCCCAGTTTTTCCTCTCTTCAGTCTTTTGGAAAAGCTGTATTATGTTCGCCATTTCATATTTTCTTATGGTTTGAGTTTCGATGACAGATCCTGTGGTTTGAATTAAATTGTATTGCAGTTTTTTCTGCATTTTAATTAACAATTTACCATCAATATATATCTTTGTTTTTAAATATATCCTTTCGAGATTCAACCAGATTTATCAAAAAATGTTTGAAGAGCTGTAAAATTAGGAAACTTACTAGCCTTCAACAGTGTAATTTGAGTAAGTCAAGATTAGGTAAGCCTTACTCAGTTTTATAGCGTGCAACAGAAGTACGTCTCAAGTAAACCCGACTCAACTGGGGTTTAAACCCGGCTTGCGTGATCCGCGGATCAGCGGCTGAGCTGTACTTATCTGAGCCATAGGTACGCAACCGGCCATTATAAGAGTTCAATATTTTTTTTAACCTCGATGGCCGATCTAATGCAGAACTTAATTATATATATATCGTCAATATTTGTGCAAGGAGGTGGTTGGGTGGTGGTTGTGGTGGAGGGTCGGTGGGTGGGTTGATACAGTCATTAAAAAAGGTGAAATTGATCATGAATCGCATATATCTATTAATTGACTTAGTTTACATTACCCGTGTTGTCAAATTGTAAATTTACAGGGTTCGGACGTTATAGGGTTTGGTCGCGTGGCCAACTTCATGCATTATGTCCCAGTGAATGACAACTTATTTCTTAAGTTAATATGTGAGATTCTGCGATAAAACCAGGCATGTAGTATCGTTTTTGAAAAAAAGGGGAGACGTATCTGGAAAAAAAACTTTGACGATCAAAATATAAAAAAATCGAAAATCCTACTTCGGGGGTGGGGGTGGGGTAGTTGATCGAATTTTAGTAGATTACAATTTTTTCTACCAAATTTTAGTATACATTACCACATTACAATGATTTGAATATACTGCAACAAACAATCTGATTAAAATCAGATCCTTTGATCCACTCACATAGATCGCTAAACAAGGATGCTTTATACTGTATAAGAAAAAAATCTTCAAAAATCTTCTTCTCAAGAACCACTGGGCAAGAAAAGTTTAATCTTATGTGCTTGTGTAGCGATCTATGTGAGCGGATCATGGCCGTAGGAACCGGGGGAGGGGGGCACGAGGGGGGGGCGTGCCCCCCCCCCCCCAATAATTTTGCCGATATATAGAGTACGACAGAAATTAACATAGATACTATTGATACTATATGCTTGTGCCCCCTCAATAAAAACAACGATGACCTTCTTTTTTTTTTTTTTTTGCTTGTCAAGGAATTTTTGGTAGTTGATAATGCCCCCTCAACTGAAAATGTATGGCTGTGCCCCCCCCCCCCCCCCCCCAATGAAATTGCTTCCTACGGGCCTGCGGATCAAATGATCTGATTTTAATCAGATTGCATAATAACTATTTTCAAAATGAATCACTGATGTTTTAATTGCAAATGAACACTAATATTTTTTAAACAGAAAAATGAAAAAAGTAAACAATACATGATGATTTGCTTTTTCTTCACACTCTACCACACATTCACATTTTCCCTCTCTGAGTTTAAAATCATTTGGAAATATTGATAGATAATAGATCCACGATGGTGCTTTATAATGAATATACGCAAATAAAATTTAAAATACACTCCCATGGTGACTAAAGTTTTAAATTTTTTTAATAAAATATTTTGAATTTATCTTCATTTTCTACATTATTAAAAATTAAATGATGTTACAGTAGCCAGAAGTCAAGACTTTTTTGCACGAACCAAGAACTAAAAATATTGAGATGTAACCAACTTTATTTCAAGGGATCGGATTTAAAAAGTTGGCAACATGTAATTATCTTTATCGCAAAATTTTGTGCTTCGAAATATGAAATACTGAAATTGATATTTTAAAATTCTTTTAAAAGAAGTTCTCCGTGCTGAATAAATCTAAGTTACCAATCTAATATTGAAATATTAATAAGACTTCTTAGATCCATGCCATATACACTTCTTCCCCGGAGTGTAAACGGCGTGGATCTAAGAAGTTTGATTTTAAGGTTCATTGATACTCTGATAAGAGAGATAACTCTTAATGACATAAATGCCTATTATTCCTTTATAGATCTGTCTAGTTGAAATGTCTTTTTTGTTTAATTTTGCCCTACAGGCTTTGATAAAATTGTTTGTATTTTACTAAAAAAATAATTTTCTTTTGGAAAATCATAAGATTTTATATGAGTGATCCAAAAGGGTTTATGAACCTTAATCATGTTATTAATTAGATTGCTAAAGTTACTTTTTCTACAATGAATATGTACCTTTACAAATAAAAACAATTAGAACATTCATTTAGATATCAAATAAAATTTTACTATACAAAAAGTCAAATTTTAAAAACATAAAAGTTTTCAGTACATGTAAATAGATTTATATAAATCGGGCTCGTTTTTTCTATATACGGGGATTTCAAAGATGGATGCGCCCTTGAAATGCAAACGAAAGGTCTAGTAAAAACAAACCCCTGATTTTTAGCATAAAAACATGAATCCAAAAGGTGAAAATGGTACCAATCCAGATTTCAAAGACAAAATTGACAAACAAAACGAAAAGTTTCAGTCTCCTGGTTGGAGAAAGTTACCGAGTACATCTGCATTTAGAGCGATCAACTTCGAACTTTACGCAAAACCAGTAAGTTTAAGTGTTTCAATACTAACGAAATAGTGCGTGCTGACTGTTGTTTTATTTAGCTGCAGAACTGTAGCTCCCTGGTTGAGAAAATAAACCAGGTTTATCTGTCCGAATTTTCTCAACCAGTGAGCTACAGTTCTGCAGCTATTTTTTTTTAAAGTTTTTTTTTCTTCTTATTATTAGTTTTTAACAATGACACGTATAATATCTCTGTTTATCTTCAACTAAAGGATGATGTGCCAAAACTGCTTTCTGCAGCCCCTTTTTTCTCACAGGCGCTCCCCATGTAATTCTGCAGTAAATGACGAATGATAAGTATATTTTATAGTATAGAGGGGTAGACGTATATACAGTTGTATATATATATATACGAGGGTTGTTCGGAAAGTTCGTGGACTTCTGTCATGTCTTTTTTATTTAACGTCATATTATATCCAACTTTGGTAGAAATATTTTAACAATAAATTCAAATGGTTTGTATTGAAAACTTTTAAAATATCTTGATTTATTTCAAACTTATTAGGAGTTAAAATCTGCAAAAATTGGTTTGCGGAGCAAGTCAAAATTTAGCAATTTACAAACATTACACTAATTAATTTCTGTAGTCATATCCTCTGTAAAATGGCTGAAAATCAAAATAAATCTAGATCATCAAATGAAGAATTGTTACATCGTTTCATATTCCAAATTATGACTTAATAGTTTGCTTCATGGAAAAGAAATCAATTTCTGAAGATAGGTAGTTCTCATTGAAAAAGGCAAAAAAGGTGACGTCGTAGAACGTCACGGAGCAGCAGTTTACGATACGATTTTCTGTTGTACTCTGGAAAACGTCAGAATAAAATCTGAAAATGTTGTAAGAAAATGAAATATTTCAAAATCGGGTCATGCATATGTGTGTGTAAATGGCCCAGGCGGTATTTGAATGATAGAGACTCTCTATCAGACGAGGACGATCTGTGAGAAAACGGATTGTCTGTAAAGAATCAACCCAAAAACGTTCAGTTCGTAACGTCTTGGAAAGAGAAAGGCGTTTCACGGTTGCTGGTCTTGTGAAAGCATAGTTAAGCGGTAAAAAAAGAAAACATTGACAATCAAAATTATGCTACTGGAACAATTACTAACAAAGTGAATTTCAATTGATAGAGACACGTTTTAAATGAGCAGATATTGGACCAGACTGTGTGAAATGTATAGGGGGAATATTTTGAGAACCTCATGACGCTATATTTTTGACGTTGTAATATTATTTAGTTTGCTCCGCGGTTACCAAACATGCTGATTTTAAAATAAAGTAAATTGATTTCTATTAAATCGAATGGAATGAAACTTCACACGTCAACAAAATAAATATTTTTACATATGATAATGTGCTTATATTAAATTTCTTGAAATTAGTATAACGAGGATTGACATTGTCCACGAACTTTTCGAACAACCCTCGTATATATATATATATATATATATATATATATATATACCGGTATACTTATCATTCGTCATTTACAGAATAACATGGGGAGCACCTGTGCTTTTTTTACAATGAATTATATTTACATATTCTACAACCATTTTGATAATTTTCAAACAAAAGTGAATAAATACGCCTTTTGAATAGTTTCAATAGTTCCAACACATTTTAATTATAAGGAAAGAGTGCATTATCTATGATTTTTTAGACCCCATGAGAGCAAAATTTGGCCTGGTTTGTGACAATAGAATCTTTTATGAAAAGAGAATAGGCGGGTCTTATTACAATAGAGGGGTATGGGTGTCTGAGGAATCTACCTTATATGGGTATTGTTATTATTTCACACATAGTCACTTACCGAGAACAATTAATGTCTAATCCAATGACTGAACAACAAAACATGCTGGTTACTACATGTTTACATTTTATCACAGACACATGGCTTAGGTCAATTTACACATTATATCTACTACATTTCAACCTTTTAATGGTCAGCAAAGGCTTTTTATGCATGATAATACGTATGGAACCTCAGTGTTTACTGTTTTGGGTCGAGAAATTCACATTGAAATGTGTATTCACTGATTCTCAGGAATATGTGTAGCCAATTGCCCAACAACGCTTTACAAAATTATGAAATTATATAATGTATATTTATTTAAAAAAATTATTTGTAATTATGAGCAGGGATATTGTAGATTTGTGTCTAACCTGTGACTCAAATGAATAAAAAAATGTTTATCAGAAAACAAGAAAAAAAATTATGCCTTTTTTCCAAGCATTAAAGTCATATCAGTAATTAAGTGGATGCAAAAATTAGAGAAAAATTTAGATATTTCATTTTTTGTCAGTTTACTGGGGGCCATATGGAACATCATCCTTTAGGAATTACACAGCTGCAGTACTAGCTGCAGATCTGTAGCTCGCTGGTTAGTCGCAGAACTGTAGCATTGTTTTGAACTTTCTGCCATTTGACAAAAATTCAAAACAAGCGAGTTAATTGGTCTGTAGAGACAACTATATAAAGGGTTAGAAGGTGGATAAAATATACAGGTTGATTTAAAAATATGTCTAGAATTAGAGAGTGAAAGGTAGTTGATTGATCAATGCTGGAAAGTAGAGAAATTCTCTCCAACCATGTGCAGAAAATCTTGTGCCTTAAATTGCACCATATTTGCATTACGGGATCTGTGGCATTATGGTCAAAGACAAAAATATAGAACCATACTGCTACAGTTCTACAGCTACTCGCTGGTCTGAAAAAAATGGGATGGAGGACCAGAGAGCTACAGTGTCACCCATTGAAAAAAGTGTATGTTTATTGCGCACAAAAAAGTGCCCTGTATTCTCGATTTATTTCTTCGTTTATTTATGCAGCCATTTGAAAATTGTACTAACCTAGTGTTTCTAACATATTCTTTTAGACAAGAAAACATTTCCCCAAATCAATGTTTATAGCTCGCTTAGGCCTGAAATTGAGACCATTGAAAATTTTGACTATTTATACTGCCATAATTGCACAGGTTCAGTTGTGTCACTGTGTCACATGACAATAAATTGACAAAACAGACCTATTCATAGAAATTTAATTCTTAAAATTAAAAATGAGCCTTGCTGAATAATTCTGAAGGAATGAAATGAAAAAGTGTCACTTTATTTTTCACAAAAATTTTCACAATTTTTTTAGGTCACCTGAGTTTACTCAGGTGACCTATTGCTATCTGTTTTTGTCAGTCGGCATGCATCATGCGTCGTCCGTCAGTCGTGCGTTAACAATTGGACATTTTCAGCTTCTTCTCTGGAACCACGGAACCAATTTCAACCAAATTCGGCATATAGCATCTATGGGTGAAGGGGAGTAAAAATTGTGAAATTCATTACCCCTAACCCCCCTGGGGCCTAAGGGGTGGGGCTAAAACCATAAAAATTATTGCAATCTTTAAAAATCTTCTTCTTTACTCCTGGACATCAAGCACTCAAGCAGTCAAACTGTTGTAATAAGCATTTAACCCTCTACCAAAATTGTGAAATTTATGGCCCCAGGGTCAGGGGTTCTGGTGTTAGGGCGGGGCTCTGTTGAATATATAGTGAAAATGCATTATTTCTTAAAAAATCTTCTCCTCTGCGCCTGGGTATTAAGCCGATGAACAAAGTACATACATATGTAGTTATGATGAGGAAAGGTGCCTCTTCTAAAATTGTGAATTTCATGGCCCCTGGGTCAGGGGTTCTGGTGTTAGGATGGGGCTCTAATGATTATATAGTGAAAATGCATTAATTCTTTGAAAACCTTCTTCTCTGCTCCTGGATATTTGATAGACTAACTAAGTACATAGTTATGATGAGGAAAGATGCCTCTTTTAAAATTGTGAATTTCATGGCCCCTGGGTCAGGGGTTCTGGTGTTAGGGCGGGGCTCTAATGATTAGGCCAAAAAAAATAATAGTCTTGTTTCCTGCTACTGGCCTGAAAAAAATAGGGTAGGTAGGTAGGAAAATTATTTTATTTTATATTTTAATTTTATTTTTTTCCGACAGCATTTTTTGGATATGAACTAACACAAGATCAAATTAAACATGTCACAGCTAGGTCAACATTGTCTTTTAAAATTAAATTTCATGTCTTTTTATGCACAACTCAAGTGATATTTTATGAAAGTCCATATTTAAAACAAGAATTTCATGAAATGCTTGTCTTGTGTTACAGTGTAACACGGAAACTGATTACAGTGACAGAACAATGAAATTCCCGATTTTTTTTCTTCCAAAACTTAAAAAAAATTTTAGGGTCGGGGGCTAAAAAATAGGGTAGGTCGGGTAGCAGGAAACAAGACTATTATTTTTTTTGGCCTTATATAGTGAAAATGCATTACCGGTAGTTCTTTAAAAATCTCCTCCTCTGCTCCTGGGTATTAAGCCAATGAACAAAGTACATAGTTATGATGAGAAAGAGTGCTTCTTTCAAAATTGTGAATTGCATGACCCCAGGGTCAGGGGTTCTGGTGTTATTGGTGCTCTAATGATTACATAGTGAAAATCCATCAATTCTTCAAAATCTTCTCCTCTGCCTACTGGGTATTAAGCAAACAAAAAATATGCATAGTTATGATGAGGAAAGGTGCCTCTTCTAAAATTGTGAATTTCATGGCCCCAGGGTGAGGGGTTCTGGTGTTAGGGCGGGGCTCTGTTGAATATATACTGAAAATGCATTATTTCTTTAAAAATCTTCTTCTCTAATCCAGCGCAAACAAACTGAATGCATAGTTATGATGAGTAAGGGTGCCTCTTCCTATATTGTGAATTTCATGGCCCCTGGGTCAGGGGTTATGGTGTTAGGGCAGGGCTCTAATGATTACATAGTAAAATTGCAATAATTCTTTGACAATCTTCCCCTTTTCTCCTGGGTATTAAGCCAATAAACTAAGAATATAGTAATGATGAGTAAGGGTGCCTCTTCCAAAATTGTGAAATTCATGGCCCCAGGGTCAGGGGTTCTGGTGTTAAGGCAGGGCTCTGTTGAGTATGTAGTGAAAATGTATTTCTTTAAAAATCTTCTTCTTTGAACTGGGGTATTTAGCAAACAAACTGAATACATAGTTATGATGAGTAAGAGTGCCTCTTCCAAAATTATGAATTTCATGGTCCCTGGGTCAGGGGTTGTGGTGTTAGGGCGGGGCTCTAATGATTACATAGTAAAAAATGCAATAATTCTTTGAAAATCTTCTCCTTTTCTCCTGGGTATTAAGCCGATGAACTAAGAGTATTGTTATGATGAGTAGGGTGCCTCTTCCAAAATTGTGAATTTTATGTGCCCTGGGTCAAGGTTCTGGTGTTAGGGCAGGGCTTAGAGCAAAGTTGATACATGTTACTCAGGTGACCTACAAGGCCCGTGGGCCTCTTGTTTATTTTTGGAAAAATATACATCTACAATAATAGATATTCATGAAATCTATGTTTCCTAAAATGCTTATATAATGAAGAATTTCTCACTGAATGATTTGAAAGGCATGACAATTTTCCTTAATCATTTTATAAAAATATCAAGCAATTTTTCTTCCCATTTTAAATCTAATCGTCTAATTAATGCACAAAATTGCAGTTCAATCCACTTTGTTAATAAGATAACTTTAATTGTAAACTTAATATTTTTTTGTTGTAAAGTATTGTTTCTGTTGTAAATAAACCAAATGACAATAAATAACAACCTGTTAAATACAGTGAAGTGGGGCTGCATTAATCCTGATGTAAAATAATCTGGACACTCCACCTTCTGCACAAAATTTGTGGGGAACAAGATATATACATATACCAAATATGTTTCATTATTCTGGACACTTCATTAATCCGTACAATTAGCTTTGGAAAACATGAGTCTGGATTAACGAAGTTTGCCTGTAATTATATTTTTTATATTGTATTTTCTGTCCGAAATTTCTTTTTATAAGAAAAAATGTAGAATAATATGAACATTTAGCGTTAGTCCACGTGAACTTGAAATCCTGACCATGATAAGAAAATGTAGATTATCTATCAAACCTAGTGACTTTTTCTGGAAAATTTTGACACTTTGTCAACTCCAAATTAAAAATATCCAGACACCACGATTCACATTTTATGCACTCATAATTACAAAAATAGAAAAACACGTAAGAACCAAACCACCAGTTTTATAGAAATAGGATGTACATTCCGTAATCTTTAAATAAAGGAGGGTTTGGACAGGGCAAAACCATATTTTATCTACAAGTAGTGACATTTATCATAAGTATATATATAGTAAAAATAATATTAATTATTATAAATAATTATATGTTTCTGTTGATCCCTTTTGTTCGAATGCCTTGGCTCTTGTACTTAATTTTACAAGTGTAAATACCCTCAGATGCATTATTTAATTGAATTTTTTTTACTAGGGTATGAAATAAAGCAAGTCCTTAGCCAAGTATTTATTGGGTTTAATTCTACAAGTGGTAATCCAACTTATACTCATAGTTCCCTTTCTAAGGAAGAAATTCTTAAAAATCATATGTCAGTTTTGAATATTTTTAATATTCCAAACAACCAATTGAAAATGAATTTGAATTACCATATTATATTGGATTCCGAAACTTCATAAAAATCCTTACAAACAAAGATACATAGTGGGTTCCAGTAAATGTTCAACCAAGCCTCTTTCTTTACTCCTCACTAAGATATTAACAGTAGTGAAGGAGAAACTTCAAGAGTACTGTGCAACAATATACATGTATTCGAGAAGTGGTGTAAATCAGATGTGGATACTTGAAAATCCAAGGAACTTTTGGAAAATTTGAAATCACAAGATTTTACCAAAATCAACAGCAGAAAAACTTACAACTTTATACACAACGATTCCCCATGATAAATTAAAGTCCAGGCTTTTTGATATCATTGATAGCTGCTTTTTCAATAAAAATGGAACTCGTAAATTTACTTACTTTGTCATTGGTCATTTGCAAAATTATTTTGTTAAAAAACATTCTGATTGTACACACAAGTACTCTGAAGTTGACATGAAAAAGATGCTTGAGTTTCTGATTGACAATATCTATGTGGTTTTTGGAAACCAGGTCTTCCAACAATCTATTGGAATTCCCATGAGTACCAATTGCGCCCCATTATAAGCAGACTTTTTTTGTATTCATATAAAGCAGAATTTGTCCAAAATCTTGTACGTGAAAAGAAGAAAACACTTCCTGGCCTTCAACTTGACATTCAGATATATCGACGACGTATTGTCAATTAACAATGGCTATTTCCATTCTTATGTCGATACAATATATCCTGGTGAGCTTGAGATTAAAGATACCACAGAGTCTGACACATCTATTTCATATTTGGATATTTTACTTGAAAAAGATGTTAATGGTAATCTAACAACCAAGCTTTATGATAAACGTGATGACTTTAACTTTTCAATTGTCAACTTCCCTTACTTATGCAGCGATATACCTTCATCACCTGCATACGGGGTATATATCTCTCGGTTGATTCGATACACAAGAGCATGCTCTACGTATGTACATTTCTAAAACGAGGTAAATTATTGATAAACAAGTTGATGAAACAAGAATATCAGCTGTCTCGTTTAAAGTCATCATTTCATAAGTTCTATGGTCGATACAATGACCTTGTCAGCAAATACAATTTATCATTGAGTCAAATGCTAACTGACGTTTTTCATACTAATTGTTAGGCTATTATTTACACACTGAATTGTCGACGGATTTTTCCGTTATTTCCCGATCAAGGGGCAAGGAGCACACGGCGGGTGTGACCGGTCGGCAGGGGATGCTCACTCCTCCATGGCACCTGATCCCACCTCTGATGTTTTGGAGGTCCGTGTTTGCTCTGCTCCTATCTTGTATTGTTTAATGGACTTTTGAGCTTGAATACTGTTCGTTATCTCCATATATTTCATTGGTCCAGCATCATGCAAACTTGCATTGAAGATGCATGTAGCATATCTATAGGGAAAAAAGACACAGTTCTCTTTTGTTTTCTTTAGGTGGGGTCGGGTTGGGATGGATAGACATGAGAAAAATATGTGTACAAAGTATTGACAAATTTTATTTGAAGAATGAACTGCACAAAGAGAGAGGAGAGTACAATATTAAAAACTTGTATGAATTTATATTCATTTATCCCCCCCCCCCCTTAAAAAATAATAAATATTCCTAGGGAACAATAAAAAAAATATGAACATTAAAAAAAATCAAGATTTATTTACTCTTCATTTTATTTAAACATAAGAAATTACACTAAAATCAGCAATTTCATTAACAAATCCACTTTCCACTTAGCATATATGTACACCTTACATTTGTGGGAGTGAATAACTTATTGTACACATAATGAAATTGTTGGTCTCTGTCAGATAAATACGTAACCTTAATTTTCTTCTCTATTCTAGAATGTAATGGTTATGGGACCTGGTACATTGTTGTTTCTTGGTTGTATCGGATATATAATTTACATGAGGATGAATGAAGATAAAAATACATACACAACAATGAATGAAGATGGAACATTAACGAAAAGACAACGAACCTCGAGATGGGACTAAGCAATGTATTTAAAATTGGAACTTTTTATTGAATAGAAATAACGTCTTAACACCATTCTCTAACTAAAGTTTGTGAATTCTATGTTTGTTGGGAAATAGATGCATTACTGACTGTGTTTGATTGTTTATATGTGATAATAAATCAAATTATATTGCATTTTATGTTCCTGTTGCTCTGCTACCTTATAGATGACAAGATACACGATCGATCACGTTACCTGAACTATTCCGCATGAATAAACCCGTTACACGAATGATCCTTCACGCACAGGATTTTACACGTTGAACGAACGGTCATGATCATAACGCATGATTCTTCAAGAATATGGTTAAGATATTTAGGAATGTACGCTTTGGAACGAAATGAGAATAATCATTTAGGATTTTTAAGCTCTCCTGAGCCGAAGGCTCAAGTGAGCTTTTCTGATCAAAGAGTGTTCGGCGTCCGTCTATCGTCTGTCATCTCCGTAAACTTTTCACATTTTTAGCTCACCTTAACGAAGTTGGGGGGAGCTTATGTGATACCTTGGGCGTCGGCATCGGCGTCCCAGGTTAAAGTTTTTGGTTCAGTTTTTTTCAAGTTCTTCTATGCGCTACATTAATCAGAGATGCATGGAAGATACATCTTGTGTTTCATTGTAACAGTCAAGGTTTCAGATGCTGCAATTTCAGCTTAGGAATGACTAGGTTAATGTTTTTGGAGCAGGTTAAAGTTTTGGAGCAGGTTCATTCTAAAGTAACTGTAAGCCTTATGTTGACCAAACTTGCATGGATGATACATCTAAGAATGCAAACTTCTGGACTTGCTTCGGATGCTGGATCTGACCTACATTTTTCAGATATGGTCCAGGTTAATGTTTCAGGATGAAAGTCCATTACAGAAACTATAAGGCCTATCTGAACCAAACTTGCATGGATGATGCATCAAGGGATGAACACTCTCATACTTGCTTCAGATGCTGGATTTGAATGACATTTTCTGGATGAGTGACTAGTTCGAAGTTTTTGGATAAGATAATTTCCAAGTAACTGAAAGCCATATCAGATCAAAATTGCATAAATATTGCATCTTGGGATGTACACTACTAGACTATTAGTTTAATATGGGACTTTGCCTTACTTGAAGACAACATTCGTTGAGGTGAGCTCTGTAATCTCTGATTACCTATGTTTGACTTCTCAAGAATCCCTGGGTCAGTTTCAACCAAACTTGCCACAAAACATCCTTGGGTAAAGGGGATTTAAGTTTGTTCACAGGAAGTGCCACACCCTCTTTCAAGGGAAGATAATTAGGATTCGTGAAAATTCGGTGACATCTTTAAAAAATCTTTTCTCAAGAACCACTTGAGAAGGAAAAGATGAAACTTATGTGAAAGCTTCATTACTCTAGATTCTATATTGTTCAAATCATAACCCTCGGGGTAGGGCGGGTTCGCAAGAAGGGGTCGAAGTTTTACATAGGAATATATAAGAAATGTCTTTGAAAATCTTTTCGAGAATAGCAAAGCCATGATTAGTCATATTATTATAGAAGTATCCTCAGGTAGTGTAGATTCAAATTTTCTCCAATTATGATTCTATTAGGGGAGGGAAGGGCCACAACAAGGGGTCAAAGTTTATTACAGGGATATATTGGAAATATCTTTAGAAATCTTCTTAAGAACAGCTAAGCCATTATAAGTCATATTAATATAGAAGTATCTTCCGGAAGTGTTGATTCAAGTTTGTTCAAATCATGACGTCTGGGGGTTGAGCGCAGACACAACAGGGGGCCAAAGTTTTACATAGGAATATATAGGAAAAATCTTTAAAAATAGTCTTCCCAAGAATACGCAGCTATGTTAAGGCTTCCCGAAGCTTTAAAATGCGCTCAAAACATAATATGTCATTGCGAGGTCGGTTTTGGTTTTAATTTATAAGTATTTAACTTTAGTACTTCCAATTTATATAAAGGGTTTCCTCAGCTATATATTAGCATATTTGTTATGATATCACATGACTTTGTTGATCACGTGACGGTCATTTATGCTTTTTTGAAGTGTTTCATATAAATCGCTTCGGCGCAGCTGATTAACACAATAATTATTAACATTTTGTTATATAAATAAACTCATCGTATCCTTGTGTATCCGAAATGTGCTTGGGAAAAGTCATAGTATTACTTGGGTACAAAATATTTCGTGAAAAATTCAACTTACCTACAAATTTGAGGGTATTTTCCACACAATATCGTAATCTGTATTAAAACAAAGCCAACACACATTTTTCCCAAGCGAGATTCAGTTAGAGAACAACCTCTTCTTACAGATTTCCTCAAAAATTCTCAGACTAATCCTCATTATTCACCTGCGCCAGACTCTTTTATACACACAAAATAAATTCTACCTCCAACCACGGGTATAAAACAGAGTACATTTCAAAAGTATATTTTTCATAAGCATTTTGAACATAATGAATTTCAATCAAGGGTAGGTAAGCGGTGTATTTTTAAAATATTCGGACATATAAGACTTAAAAAACCTTTAACGACCCGTGAATTTTGCAATAGCTATCTAGCATTTTACATGCAGTTTGAAATAAAGTGTAAAGTTCATGACACTCTCCCCGTCATAACACCTCAAGTTTGCAGTGACCTGACGTCATTTTCCATTATGACGTCATATTTTGGTAGTTCAGAGATGTGAAGGCACAGAGTGCACTGTCATATTCTACGGGAAGCCTTAACCTACCTGCGTAGTGAAACCATTATTTGTCATATTAATACAGAAGCATCCTCAGGTAGTGTAGATTCAAGTTTGTTCAAATCATGAACCCCGGGGCTAGGGCGGGGCCACAATAGTGGGTCAAAGTTTTACATAGGAATATACAGATGTAATGGTTAAGGGGTATGTGCGTAAATTGCATTGAAGACTTCAAATGGTGAAATGTCCTGACAATCCTTGAAATGGACTAGCCAAAGGGTATATGAGGCAAAGCTTTGGGAAAATCAGGGATTCAGAAGCTAGCGGAAGAAGTTGGCCGTTGAATAAGCAATAAAGAAGATAAGGGTTAGAGCAAAATAAAAGTATAAAAGTTATGCACCTGTGACAAGTATCGCAGGAAAATAAGTTTAAGTTCTGGGTGTAGTTAATCTAAAGAAGACTGAGAGACTAGGTCTTATCTATCAATAGGAACCTAAGGGAGACACACGGTACAAGTAGTACATTACCCAGTCCCCATCTCTAGATGAAAGAGAAAAAAAATTAGTACTGTGTGATTTACCCTCAGACAGAGTTGTCTGAATAATTACTCCAATCATTAACTCAGACAGAGGAAAAGGAAAATTTATACCCCTTGTAAGAACCTGATCATACAAATAACTTTGGAAATACCTTTAAAATTCTCCTTTTCAAGAACAACTAAATTAAAGCCTTTATTAGTCATATTTATATAGAAGCAACCTTAGGTATTGCAGAAAATAAAAATCAAGTTTGTAAAATTATGAACCCCAAGGGGTGGGGGGGGGGGGTTATAACAGAGGGTCAAAGTTTTACATAAGAATATATAGGAATCGTCTTGAAAAAAATCTTCTGCTAAAGAACAGCAAGGCCATGATTAGTTTTATTATTATAGAAACATCCTCAGGTAGTGTAGATCCTAGTTTGTTCACATTTAGGGTTGGTAGAGTTGGGCCACATTGAGCGATCAGAGTTTTACATAGCAATATACAGGGAAAAATTCTTTAAAATATTTCTGCTCAAGAACATCAAAGCCATTATTAGTAATATTGATATGGAAACATCCTGAGGTATATAAGTTTAAGCTTGACCCCCCCCCCCTCCCCCGTAAACTTTTCTACTTTTTCCAAGCCACTGTGCTCAGGTGAGTGATGTGGCCCATGGACCTCTTGATTCTAAAAAAAATACCCAACCACGATTAATATTGTACATTATAAACTGAACGTAGACATTTAACTTTCGTAAAATTAAAATACATGTATAACAATTTACTTGTGCGCTGTTTTGATTTCCCTGTAGCTACATGTATCTTGAAATTTAAAATTTATTATTGGTCATAAAGTATAAATTGAAATAAAGAATGACATCTTGTTATTTCCATTTTTTTTTTGGAAAGGGTTGTTTTTGTTTTTTAAATATCGGCCTATATTCTCAAGGATGTATAAAAGTACTCCAAATAAACTAAGATCTTTGTGCGTTCTCGAGAACTAATGTAATAGGTGAAGATAACGAACAGTGATCTCAAAAAAGTCCAAAAACAGTACAAATATGTGGAGAGGGCATAACACACGGACTCCTGGAAATTCCAAAGGTGGGATCAGGTACCTGGGAGGAGTAAGCATCCCCTGCTGACCGGTCACATCCGCCATATACCCTATGCATTGATCAGACTTACGGAACAATCCGCAGCCAACCAGTACAAAATCAAAGACCTAACAAATGGTATGAAACAAGTCAGCAAAAAAAAAAAAAAAAAAAAAAAAAAAAAAATAAAGAAAAGAAAAGAAAAGAAAAGAAAAAGAAAGAAAAAAACATGTATTTGCTAACAAGGTCATTATAACGGCCATAAAATTTTAAACCTGACAAATAGTGACCCTCTGCTCTACATTTCATTTTTTTTTTTTCAACTTTCCAATGTATTGATTTTCATCAAGAGCTATAGCATTACATTCAAATGAGAAATAATATGAGGTATAAAACTATTTGAAAAGTATCGGCAAAAGGAAATAGTTCTAAGTTAGGCCTAGTTTGTTCGAAATGACTACTAAAGGTCCTGATAAAAAAGTAATTATTAAAATCTGGTGAAAAAAAAAATATGAGTAATATTAGGATTTTTTTATTTGAAGGTTATCTCTCTTATCAGAGGGTCGGTACCCCTCAATTAACAACTGTTTACTAAGCGATTTATAAATTACCATATTATTAGCATACAGGGGTTTTTACACCTCGTTTAATTTCAGAATTTCATAGACAAAGAGAACTATAACGATGGTTCATTAAAAATAAAATGATTACGCAAATTTAAAGTTAAAATCATAATTGATTAAGAGGTGCTTAGGAATATTACTTTTATTCAGGCGCTGTGGCAATGCACTTTGAAAAATTACGCACTTTGAAAATTTGTTTCAAAGTGTGGTAAAATTGAGAGAAAAATCGACACACTTTGAAAAAAAAATTCAAAGTGCATTAAACTTGGTAGAAGACAGGTAGAAGGTCCCTCAGCCCAACTCTTTATCTTTACTAACCAAACATATGTATTTACATAAATGGTATGAAACTGATATACTTTCTCTCAGTAAATTTGAATTAACCTAAAATAGATATACACTAGACAAAATTGCTAACGCACCACCTAAATAAATTAACATTTTTCTTTTCAAAACTTGTTTATGATGTTTTTGATATATAATTATGTTACTTTAATACAAAATGAGACATTTAAATGCTTTAACTGATAAATAACAACAACGTTTACTGAAGCGTAACCACTTCAAAGAAAGAAATAAAATCATATCCAAAATTTTTTGGTGGAATAAATTTCTAATTTTTTCTTTGTGGTTGTGTTCTTTATGCTTGTACTAATTAAAAACTCAGAAAAAAAGTTACACCGTATGCGGCGTTTGACTCTAGAAGAGCGTGTTAAGGCAGCCAGTCTGCAAGGGGTTCCTTTGAGGAAATTTGTGAAAAATTAAAAGAATTAAACGATTATGAATTTCTCTGGTGAAAAATTGTTGAAAATGAATGAACGATCATAAAAATGTTTACAATAGATATCGACGGCATTAATTGAGCACCACACAATAATTTCAAGAGTGTTCCACAAAATTGGGTCAACCGGAAGTTGGGTGGATTTGGTATTGACACCAAGGCACTGGATGACTACAAGCGATATGGTAGTCAATCAGGGTATATCATTTGATTTTTAAGTGGGAGACTGCTCCCGTCGCAACGTCACGGACCACCATCGGTAATCACCAGCTTCATATCTTGGCAAAAACGGTGCGCAGTGCACGTCGGGAAATTGGTTTTCGGACAAGAAGGTCCTTTAAGGGTCTTGACATGACAGCAAGTCATTTGTCAATCCAACTGTTTTGGAAAAGATGGCATATTTTATATACTAGTACCAATCAGGAAAATGATCAATTCACAAATAAGAATAATAAGTGGTGCATTAGCAATTTTGTCTAGTGTAAGTATTTATATAAGCTTTCCTGAAAAAAAAAATAACGCACCCTATTATATTAAAGAAGAGAGGCTTAGGGGCCATATCACTGATCTAAGCAACAATAGTCAACTGACTATACTTTGACTTAAGTACATGTGACTTTACAAAATCAAATATGATACCAAAAGAAAAGTATAAAATGCATAAATAATTTTTTCATACCTCGTAATACTAATCAAATAACTGTATAACAGGCCATCATATTATCGGGTATAAAGAATTTTTTCATACTTCTAAATACTCGTCAAATAACAATAAAAAGACCATCATATTGTGCGAGAAATTTTTTCAATGGAAAAATCATAAATGCTCCCCTTTCTTTAAGAAAAATGCGTTGCTTTAAGTCACTTATCGACCCTACATCTACCGAACTTATTATAGGCTGCATAAAATAAAAAAGAAACAAAACTGTGCTATCAAACAATTCCTCCATTATTTCTAAAAGACCCACTTCCCTTTTATAATATTTACGAGAACCTTTGAGAACAAGACAAACACAAGAAATTTTTAAAACGTTTACATCTCAGATCCTGAAGTGACGTTATCACCGAAAAATTATCTAAGTAGGTTCAAATAAAATTTGCAGGAATATTAACGAAGCCGTGCACATTATTTTTCAAAGTGCCTTAATATGGTCAATATTAACGCAATTTGAAAATGAATATATTTTTTTCAAAGTGGGTAAACTTGGTCCCAAATTTAACGCACTTTGAAAAAAGAATTTCAAAGTGCGTAATTTTTCAAAGTACGTTGTAACAAGGCGCATTTGAAAGCTCAAACTAGCATAAAATATTTTTTTTTATCGAGATTTGTATATTTAAGTGTGTAAGATGAAACAATTTGAATAATATATTTAATCTTTGTCAGGTCTACATAAACGTGTATTATGTATAAGTCATGACTAATTACTGTTGTTAATTTATTTGTATATTTAAAAAAAAATAGGAAGAATATGTATGTACCACTTTTTAAAAATGCTCTGTTTTTAAAAATAGCTAAACTATCAAATGTATTTGTATAGACTAAAACAGAAAAGCTATTCCTGCAAGATGAAGGGTAGGTAGGGGGAGAAGGAGAGAGACTGGAAAAATTTGAGTCATAAACTATTACTTAAAACGTAGACAGATACTTGTATTAATTAAATAAAGTAAAATAAAAAATGCGATTTTTGATCATACTATAGACTGCATGACTGACCTCATGAATAATTGATACTAGTAACATAAAGAAGTATACTCAATAAAATGATTTTCCCCATGTATTTATAAAAAATAAAATTTTGAAAACAAACAAGTTACTTCAATTCTCAATTCTTTATTCTCTCAAAACCAGATCAATGGTACAAAAGATACATATATACAAACAAAAATTACAGTCAAGGGTCAAATAAAGAAAAAAAAAAGAATGAAGTAAACATATAATCAGTTAAACATATGGAGGATGCAACAAGGACAAATAGTTTTGAAATTTTCTCAGTAAATTTTGACAACGATTTTTGTATTTCTACATTATTTGTGTTCATAAGTTCATTAAACTTGAAAATGTTAGGATTTTTACAATATCTATTTTGGAGATATATTTTTCTGTCATTCGAAAAGTACTTGCATTCCATAACATAATGAAATTCATCACCAATACTTTTACAGTCACAAATACAGTAGTACATATTCTTAAATTTCTATCAATATTATTCGATCTACCTGTTTCATTTGGCAAATGATGATTACATGTCCGTACGAGGGCCGTTCAAAAATTACGCGGACTCTGCTATTATTTACTCTTACAGACGTCATATAGAATTGAAATTTCACAGGAACATATTTCTTAAAAATTCCAATAAATTCTTGGTAAAAATTTTTGATTTTATTTAATATCTCATTAAATTATTGCCGTTTTGATACTTCTGATGGTGATATACGGAGCACGGCAAAAATGTAGAAAAACAAACATGCGATATCCAAAATATTATTTATTTATTTTCCATATTTCACGATATTATTCAACAATTTTCTCTAAAATTTCTTTTTATTGTTTTATTATTAAGTATTTAGATTTCTGGCGAAATATTTGAAATACTAAGAGAAATATTGTAATTTTTTCCCGATGTGACCCCTACGAAATCAACTGCAAAAATGACGTCTCGTGATTTGACGGAGCAGCGCACTTTTATCAAATCAAGACATGAGTCATGCTGGGAAAACGCAATACAGACCCATAATAATCCTATTGAAACATGTAGTAAACCAGCGGAATATCCGACACATCTCTACAAAATGTAAAAAAGAATTTTAGACTGATAGACCTTAGTCAAAAGGCAATCTGGGAGGAATGGAAGAAGTTCATCGACAAAACACTGATCTGGGCTGTTAAGAATGTGATTGAGATCGACTGATGTCAAACTTTAATTCATAAAATATCTGCAGTTTTGGGGTTCAATACAAACTAAAACACACAATGATAGTTTTATAGTTTTTAAGCTGAATCGGAAATGGTATATGGATGTTTATTCTGAGTAGATAAGGTAACCAAAACTATTCAGTATCAATTACTAAGGGAAAATATTGAGAAAATGAAGCTCCCATTTTTTTTAAAATGCCCGTGACGTTGAAAGTTTTACTGCGCTGTGACTTCATGAGATGTCTTGTTAAATAACTTGACATTGATACCAATTTACAATATTTTGATATGAAATTTTTAGGATCATATATGAAAAGATTCTTTTATATTATTTATGACTTTTTGCTTGATTATGTCGTCAAATATATTTTCTGTGCAACAAGTCCGCGTAATTTTTGAACGGCCCTCGTCGTTTTGTAAGTATAATTCTTTATTCTTATTTAGATCATACGAGGGTTGTTCGGAAAGTTCGTGGACTACCGTCATAACTTTTTTTACTTAACGTCATATTATATCCAAATTTGGAAGAAATATTTCAACAGTAAATTCAAATGATATGTATTAAATTTTTTTAAAATATCATTGTTTATTCCAAACTTATTTAGACTTAAAAAATGCGAAATTCGGATCACGAAGCAGGTCAAAATTTCGTAATTTACAATCAAGACACTAAATAATGTCTGAAGTCATATCTTCTGTAAAATGACACAAAAACGGAAAAAAATTCTACACGTTCAAATTAAGAATTGTTTTATCGTTTCTGATTCGAATTAAGACTTAATATTTTGCTTCGTTGAAAAGAAATCAGTATCAGAAGATAGGTAGTCCTCATTGAAAAAGGCAAAAAAGTGACGTCGTAGAACGTCACGGAGCAGCAGTTAACTAGATACAATTTTGTGTTGTACTCTAGAAAACTCCAGAAAAAAAAACCTCTGAAAATGCCGGAGGAAGTAGGAAATATGTCAAAAGCGAGCCATGCATGAGTGTGTACATGGTACAAGTTGTATTTGAATGATAGTGTACTCTGCTTAGACGATGGTGATCTGTAAAAACCGGATTATCTGTAAAAATCTTATCAAAAAACAATGAAAAGTTAGTAACGTTATGCTAAGAGTTTGCGATCACAGATGCTGATCTTGTGAAGGCACACTTATACGGTGAAAAAATATAACATTGACAAACTAAATGATGCTACTGGAACAATTGTTAGCAAAATAGATTTCTGGTGATAGAGAAACGTTTTTAATGAGTGCACTGGTATTTGTCAATTCTGTGTGAAATGTATAGGGATAGTATTTTTGAGAACCTCATGTCGGTATGTTTTTGACGTAACAGTGTTGTTGAGTTTGCTCCGTGGTTACAAAACATTTTAAAATTAAATAACGTGAAGTCTTTTAAATCACATGGAATGAAACTTCACACTTGAACAAAATAAATATTTTTACATATGATAATTGATTTTAAAATTAAATAGCATGAATTCTTTTAAATTACACTGTACATGTTATGAAACTTTACATTTGAACAAAATAAATATTTTTACAGATGATAATGTGCTCATAATGCTTAAATTTCTTGAAGATACATGTGGCTGCAACGTTATTGTTGACAAGTTACACGAACGATCACGTTACACGAACGATTCCGCACGATTGACGCACGATAAAATCTGTTAGACGAACGATCCTTCACGCACACGATTCTACACGTTACACGATCTTACACGATTGCTAACTCAAACGCACGATTCTTCACGCAAAATAGTTCAAATTCTTTAGGAATGGATATTTTCAAAACGAAATAAGGCTTAATATTTATTTTAGATTTCAAATAATTATTGATATTATTTCATCGACTTTGAAAAATAAAAAAGAATAGAAATCGATATTTCTGAAATTAAATACATATAAGACTTATTAATTATTTTAGATTGCAAATAATTATTTACGTAATTCTCCCGACCGACTTAAGAAAACAGATTTTTTTTTCTTCCTATCAGAAGACAAAAATGTAGGTGGAGTTGAGTTTTGATTGAATTGGATTACATAATATGCAGAAAGGGATAAGTTTGAAAAAAATGGCATGAAAATGAATTAAATTATAAGATATATCCATGTTTCTATTTGTGAATCTCTAAAATCAACAATTATTTTACAAATCATTTATTTGCAGAAATTATAAAGATAATTAAAACTAAGCTCCAGAGATAAACACTGAAAAACTAAACCCCGACAAATCATGTCGTGTACATGTACATTCGCCGACTAAATATTTATGAAAGCATCGAGATTGTTTATTTATTTATTTGTAAAAAATCTATTTTTGATCTATTGATTTTAAAAATATCTTGACCATAATTAGCAGTAAACATAATTAACATCAGAGAAAAAGTCCTTAAACATCTAAGTACAGTTTATCACAAAAAATCACGCTATTTGACGAGAACACAATATTGTACGACTTACTATATTGCTTATTTCCAAGCGATAATTAGTTCGCTCTGCTTTCAATTATGTAAATCGCGCTTCATTTATTTTATTTGGATTGAAATAAAAAAGCAGACAAGCGAAATGCTTGTATAACAAATAACATTCCGATAAAAACCTACAAAACGAAATTTACACGTTTCTTAACGCACGATCACGCACGATTAAAACCGCAAACGATTGAGGCTGATACACGCACGATCTCGCACGTTGCACGAACGATCACGCACGTTACAGGATTGGCCATGGTTTGTCAACAATAACGTTGCAGCCACTGTAGTATAACGAAAATTGGCATAGTCCACGAACTTTAAGAACAACCCTCGTATTATGTTTAAAATTAAAATAAAAGTAACTTAACTGATGCCAGAGCAGTGTTTATTTATAAATATTAAATGATTTAATTATTGCTGACTGTTTAAGGGTTGATGTTAATATTTTTTTGCTTTAATTTGGAATAGAAAATTTATCTTATAAACACTATTTAATTGAGAGAGAGAGAGAGGGGGGGGGGAGAGAGGAGATTCCTACCTACAATGGAGTTATCGTCAATCACAGCTCCTGGTTTTACTGGGAAAGACCAGGTGTTTTTGCTGATAGAGGACATGCATATAAATTATATATATTTACACTATAAACAAGGTAGATACAACTCAGTTTGTTGATCACAAGACTAATAGAAACACCATGTAAGTATCAAGTCTTTTATTAGAAACTTAAGAGATATTAGACATATACATGTATATTATTGAGGTCCATATTTTTCCTTTAGGATTAGTTGTAATGTGTACATGATATTGATAAAATCATGAAATTGAACATAATACAATTACACTTGCTTGTAAATTAATAAATGTAAATTTGAATTAAAAGCGTTTACTATAAGAACAAATTTTAAAAGGAAATATGAATATTTCAGACTTAAGCCAACAATTTTGTTATCTTACTTAGAAATCGAAACAGGCACAGATATTATAACAGTATTTGTTTATTGTTGATTATTGAATTAAAAACCACTAAATTTGTTTTAAAAAAAAAGCCTTGTAAAGCTTGAAATTAGTAGAAAATCGATTTACACAGAAACATGACTGTAGAACGTTTTAATTCAGCCTGGTGTTCATATAAATGTTGATAATTTCAAGAGGCTCATACATGAATAAGATTAAGGGGACCTTATTATGAGGAAATTTCATGGTATTCACTAAAAGAAATGTTTTTCAATGCAAGACTCCTTTATATATAGACTTAGGGAAAATAAAATTGCTCATTAGTAAGGGATAATCCAGTAAGAAGGGGGGGGGGTTTCAGTGTTATTTGATTTACAGAATATTATGTAAATAAAACATGATATATAACCTTTAAACCCCCCCCCTCAAAAATAGCCCCCTTAATGTAAAAGGTGATCGATCTCATAAATCTAGTAAACAAAAAGAATCGTGAACAGGGCAAAAACACGGGCCCCTGAAAATACAAGAGGTGGGATCAGGTGCCAAGGAAGAGTAAGCATCCCCTTTTGACCGGCCTGTATATTAATGAGGTATATGGAGTACTCCGTAGTCGAATTTATTATATAGACAGTGACATAAAAAATGGTGTGAAATATGTCAGACAAAATGCGACTCAACGATAGGTTGTATTTACAAACAAGGCCATTATAACCATCATAGAATTTGCTAAAAGCTAATTTAAAACGGGGTTGTTGAAATCCTTGTAACATCAACTTATTTGTCAGTAGCTTGCCTCGGATTAAAATTGATCGTACTCAGAGCATGCTTTTGTGATCAAATATATAGACATAGACACCATATGCAGGTACGTGATGTTGGAATATTGCTGCACAAATAAGGGAAGCTGAAAAGCTTAAGTCATACTGTTTGTCATACAGTTTGGTTATCATTTGGCCATTATCGTCTATAGACAGTAAATCATCTAAATATAATGTGACAGACTCTGTAGTGGTCTTTTATTTCGAGTTCACTGGTATATATTGAGTTGACATAAAAAATGAAAGTAACTGTTGTAAATTGATCAAACGTCGTCGATATATCAAAATGTTGAGTTGAAGATAACAGCAAGAGTTTCCCTTTTCTTATGTAGAAGTTTTTGAATAAATTCTGCTTCATAGGAATATAAAAACAGGTCGGCATAAAATTGTTGGAAGACTTGGTCCCCAAAAACTACATATATCGTGTCAAAAAAGTTAAGTTTTGAAATCCCTTAAACTGTAGGAAATTCCTTAATTTGTTGCTGATTTTATATATATCTATGAGATGCTCTCCCACCGCGGGAACCACATCCCCTTAAAAGAATATATATATTTCAGCGATATTAGTAAATGCTTTACATATTGAATCGTATCTTTACTGCTTTAGCTTCTCTCTCTCTCTCTCTCTCTCTCTCTCTCTCTCTGTTATAAAACTTTTTGGGTCACATTTTCCCTATGGACAGGAAATTGATTTCCCATAAATTAGCGAATGGCAAACATCATTTTATTTTATGAGGCGTATTTTTGAATTTCCAAATATTAACAAACTAACTTTAGTGCTCTACTACTCGCGTAATTAATTTCCATGATAAAGTATAGTGTTTCCGACGAATTAAATATTTAAACACTGCAAAATAAATGAAATAGTACAGGGTTTCAATGTTTGCTCTTTTTGCCATATCAAGAGGGGTAATTGATCAGACATATTACTTCAAGGATTGGTATTCTCCCGTGGGAAATGTTTTGTCTAAAATAATGAATTTTAAAAGATATTTTGATTTTCAGAATAAAATGGGCAATTATCTGTAATCCAATACGAGTTTTTGTTTTGCTTTTCGTCAAAAAAAACTTTATCATCAAGAAAAATAGAAAGATATCGAGTTATTTTTTACATACATGTAATACACTGTAACAGGATTTTTGAACCAACCAAAATGTACAGAAATGTATTTAGAAAAGGTAATTCAGATTCTTTTTTGTAGATTTGTTATTTCCTTTTTAACATTTTATAGGCATTGGTTGCTGATTTTTCTCATCCTTCAACCTTCATGCTCTTTTATTATAAGTGGTAAGTATATATGGCACGTTCCTTGAATATATGTTTTTGTATCTCTTTGCAGTATACCAAAATATTCATAATTATTGTCATGTTTTTATTTCTCAACTGCATGTTTTCAAAATTGTCTTTAATGATATTGACTCCAAAAATTGTTAGATCAGCAATTGAAGTTATATCCAATAGTACTATATAAGAATTACATTGTACCATCCTCTATCTAGTACTATTTTGGACAATTATGCTTGGTAAGGTACCTTAATTTTTTGTGAGGAAACTTGTTAAAGTAGTAATACTTTAATCACAGATTCTTGGGAAAAACAATATATTACTGAGGAACGAGTCGTCTGCCCTTAAATTATCGACGAAGAACTTAAATTATTATTTATATAAGATACATGTATATCTTGATGTCCTTGTTGATAATGAAAAAAGAAGAATTTTAGCTAAATAAGATGAAGAAATTAAGCCACTGTCACAATGTTCTGGAATTTATTAATTAAATCCATATTACAAGAAGTACAAGGAATATACATTAATACAAGATTTGCAAATCAAGCCTCTCTTAACTTTTAACTTTGAAGTACATATATAAGGACGGGGTGGATGGGTAGGATTCCCTGCATAATTTAGCCAACATATACTTTACAATAGACACCATGCTAAGTTACGGTTGTGTTCCCTCATTGATAATTTATATATAATATTTAAAAAGAAACAAAACAATTTTAGCTTGTCAATTGATTTTCCATTTACTGTGTCCCCAGGCTAAAGTGCTCCACAGAACGTGCCTGAATTTATTGATGAAAACTTTAACAAGAAACCTAATGACCATAACCTACTGGAAATTATAATAGACAAATATTAATAACGATCATTCAAATATTATATATAGATCTCCACAGCTCTAGCTGTCCACATTACACGACAGTTTCCTCTTTCCTGAGCCACATTGGGGTCAATGTTCACACATCCGGGACATTTGGCGTTAGTGACCTTGATGTGACACACGACCCAAAAAGATCATCATGCACTGTGCTTAAGGTAAAATAAATCGCAATGTCTGAATAACTCATTCCATAAGACTATACTTATACTGAAACAGGATTTTAAAAAATAAAAAAAAATAGTATTTATTCGCTGCCAAGATTACACCTGCACAATATTCCTTCAAGAAACAGGAAGGCAAATCTAAGATAAGATTATTAAATACTTACATTTTATGGGAAAAATAACCCACTTACTCTGTAAATGTGTTCCCAGCTCAGATATTCAGTATTAGCTCTTTACGACTTTCTATGTCTAAAATATCATTTGTTTAGAACTATATTATTTACATGTATTGCTTCTACGATTACATATACATGTTTCTAGAGTTTAGAATTATACCATCTACGTGCCTGGTTTAAATCTTCACATGATCTTCGAATAGGCAAATTACGCCAAAGGAAGCCACTCACATACTCATGACTTAGTGAGAGGAGCACAATTCTTTGTCACGCCATCTGGTTATCCTAATGGTGCCACTGACGTCACTTTGAGCTATGACGTATACTTCCCGAGTTCATTTTCATGGGTGAATGGTGGGAAACTTCCCGGGACTTATGGTCACAGCACCCATTGCTCCGGGGGACGGGATTCAAATCACTGCATCTCCACTCGATTCATGTGGCGAGCTCACGGAGCAGGGGAATTATATTTGTACTTTCCTAAAGATGCTCAACCAAATTTCGATACATGGGCAAAACACCAAAATGCAGAAATCGTAACACATGACAATTATGGGGTGTCTATTCGCTCTCCAAATTTTGTCTTCCACCATAATCAATGGATAAACTTGAAGCAACAAATCCACCTTAATACAGTCCGTAGTAGTGGTCACGGAAATGCAGATGGGTGGATCAAGATTTTTATGAACCACGCATCAAGTCCTGTCATGTCAATTAAAGATGTTGTTTTACGGAAATATGATGATGTCAAAATTGATGGCATTTTCTTCTCGACCTTCTTTGGTGGCAGTGATGACTCTTGGGCATCAGCACACAATACCTATACTTTATACAAAAATTTCCAGATATCTGTTGGTCATCATTAAATTTGAATATTTCATTTTTTTTAAAGATTTGTTCAACCGTTTTGAATCAAGATGTGCGCCTTAATAATCTTCATTATATTTATCTTCATGAAGGAATTATTTTCATGAATTAATTATCTCCTTTTTTTCTTCATCTAAATAAGACAACGATGAAATGTTCTACTGAATTAAAAAAAAAAAAACTGACAGAAAAATCCCTTACTGATCGAGGAAATAAAGAGAGGAAAGTTGGAACAGAACATTTTTCAATACAAAAGAACGCTTTTGGAAATTCATAGTGAAAAGCAAACGGGGGTAGTATTTGATTTTATCTTTCATAAAAAAAAATACATGTAGCCTTTTTGGGCTAATACCGGTATCTTGTAGAAAGAGATAGAAATATTACCTCTATTACAGTAAATAGAATAGAAATTAAATCCTAGGGCAAATTCAAAATCAAATTTTGCTCAGAAAAGTAAAGTTATATGATCGATAGCATTGTATATATTTCTTTGGCCGACAGTCAAGTCTTTTTTCCATTTATAGTTAAAATGGTATAGTGTAGTCATGAAAATTGTAAAGAGAGAGACAGAAAGAGAGAGAGAGAGAGAGACTTAAAGTACAATTTTGCGACCTCATATATCATTTATGGAAGCAAAACAACGCTTAAGGCCAACTTTAAAAAATTGTTAGGTTGCCCTCTCCCGACCGACTGGCTTAAAATGGCCCGACTCCAAACTTTTTTCAACCTCCAGGTATTAAGATATTTTTTTTTCCTTTTATTCCTGGATTTTCCCATTCGTCAACATATATGTTGAAATTTTCTGAGAAAAAAAAAGATTTTCCCACCTACCTATCGACGCAATTTTTTTACCTTGTGTCGGGAGAGGGCAATCAAACATTATTTTAAAGATGGCCTGAGCATGATTGGTGACATATAACCCACATACATCATGAATAATATTATGCATACAATCCGTTATGTTGTTAACTTTTAATGCAATGTCACACATTAGAACACTGCTGTTAATATATTCAATGGACAAATTTTTATAATCTAGTTCAAATCACGGTTTTATTTGTTGCATATTTCTTATAGTTATAAGGTCCGTTATTTGACATAATTCAACGATGTGACATCAGTAAGAAAATTTGATTGAACCTTGTTAAAAACAATTTCCTTAAGATGCCTTGATTTCGACCCTAATCTAAAGGTATGCACATTGCATGAATATTTGGTTAATAATATTTCATAAACATTCCGTTTCGAACACCCTGAATATTTACTCATGACGAGGTGATATTTGTGGAAAAAAGATCATGCGTTGAGATATTGTGAAATCACTAACTTTCGTGGGGGCTAAAAATTCTTTGTTTTAGAGGTACGAATTAAGAGACCCTCGAATTCATGACCACCACGAAATGTGAAATGTCATATACATAGCTACTCAACAATTCTTCATCCACGAAATCTAATCCCCACGAAACCATAGTTTTTCCTCAAACCACGAAAATTTGACCCCAAGAAATACATGTATGTGATTTTACAGTAGATTGAAACCTGTTATTAATGATTGAAAAAAAACGTAAAGAGTGTTACATGTATCATCATATTTTCTTTGAGGGCTGTTCAGAGCATAAACTTTGGTTTAACGAGGTTCGCTCCTGCATGAGCTTTTGAGCAGATCTTTATCTTAACTTATATATCAAAAATTCTGAATAATGTTTTAATTCTTATAATAAATTTGGATTTTACAATGTCAATTAAGCTATATTCAGTTAAAACTCCATGATTAAATTCCATACCAAAAGCATTAAGTGAGGAACTATATTTTGTGGCGGAAGGTTTTTTTAAGAAGAAAATGATCATTTTTTCTCTTTCGAAGTATTTAAAGTATGTTAAGTATGGATTCCTATATTTTACATGCAGTCTGCACACAGAGTTATTTTGTGCAGTGAACTGTTTTATACTGGTCCTAAATTATCTATCAAAGAAACTGTCATGAATTCTATCATCATATTTGATAAATATAGCAAATATATGAAAATGAAGAAAAAAATCTACTGTAAAATCAATTACTGATCAGACATGCTGCCTGGACACAAGGAATCGTTTATTAATACATACGATGTTCCACGCAAAAGATTCATAAAGAAAAAAAAACACCTTTGTTTAACACGTGTTGTTATCCCTGATGTTTTGGACTTGGTTAACAAATTGTGAGCAGACACAAGTACAGTGTTATCCAAGACATGTTCAATATAATCGAACTATTTTACTTTGAGTTAGAGTAGACTTTTTCCCCTCCTCATTTCAAAGCCCCATGGTTCATCTGTTAGAGAAGACATTTTGCCCATTAAGTATTATTGCAAGCTTGATCTTGGAGCCCTTAAATGATCAGTAAGTAGACCAGTTCATTGTTTATCCGTCCGTCCTTTTAGTTGTCTGTCTAAATAACTGTCACATCTTTCTTGTCCGCAGTACTAGTGTATTTTCTTTCCTTTGGCCCAATCTGACTCAAGGCTGACCCACAGAGGGCCCATAGCAATGATCTTATCTTTGTTTCTAGATAAAAGTCAATGTCTAAACAGGTGTTAAATCCTTTGGCCCAATCTGTTTCACACTTCTACTTACAAGTTCTACAAGGTAAAGATTGCACTGTGACATCCAGCGAATATCCTAGATCAAAGATCAAGGTCGAAGCAAGTTTTTGTGAAATCCAAGTCTGGATTATTTAATTTCTGCCTTGGACCAGTTTGACATACATGTACTTCAAAATGGCCTCTTTCCAAGCAAACCAAGGTTAAAACAGTTTTCTATGTAAAATTCTTATCTAGATACCTAAATACATCACCTAAAGAGTGTACTTGGAAAAGGATGTGAAGTGGTCTTGAGCCAGATTTCTGCCAATAATAATGTTTAATAAAAATACGTGCGGGGCGAGAGAGAGAGAGAGAGAGAGAAGGCGTGGATTGGAGCACGTGAATTTATGGATTAAAGAGCATGTAAATATAAGGAATAACCGTCAGATTTTTAGTTTTATGACGATGACTAAGCCTTTGGCGTTTATGCAAATTATCACTCAAGCATATTGCTTGATCACATCATAAAACCAAAATACATGTATTGGACAGTTATTCCTTAATACAAACTAGATGTTTTCTTAAGACAGTAATATCCACGAGGAACTATTTGCCTCTATATGTTCCCTCCTTCGTACCAACGAACCCGATGACCAATTAACTAATTAATATATTTGGTTACTTCAAAAAAGCCACAATGGTTTTCTGTAAATAACATAACTATACATTTATCAAATTGAGCATAAAATTCTCAGGTGAGCAAGTTGTTCTCTTCAGTTGTTAGTAATTCATATAATTTATTCATTACAAGTCTTAATTTAAATTATTTAAGCATAAATTTTGTTTAAGGAGAATTAGGCCTAATAAATGTATAGACATTTTATCGGCACAGAATTTTTCCCGCTTACCCGATCATGACAATGCAAGGAGCACACTGCCGGTATGACCGGTCGATAGGGGATGCTTACTCTTCTATGGCACCTGATCCCGTCACTTTTTTCAGAGGCTCTTTTTTTCTTTTCTCATATTGGTAATTTGTATTGTTAAGATTGACTTTTGAGAATAATCACTGCTCGTTATCTTCACATTCCATACTGGCCTCCTGGATAAAAATGAAAATTCCCAAACTCTGAACATCAACAGTACACCACCAATCATATTTCAAACGATGTTTAGCTTCTCTGTAAAATGTGAGAGGAATATTATGGGAACATCGTTTTTGTAGAAAAAAGTTATTTTTCGACCCTCAATCAACAATTAGAAAGAATTCCGAAACTTTATTGCACATTTAAAGGCCACGTATTCCAAAAGATGATTTAACCACAGCGTAAAATATGAAAGACATTTTGGGAACTATGGTTTTTTTTTGTTGAAAAACGTCGTTAATTGGCATCTAGTATGGAAATGAAAATTATGAAACCTTGTTGCTCATCTACAAAAAACAAGCAAATCATCTTTTAAAAGATATTTGGCTACTACATAAAGAGTAATAGATCCGTGAACCAGGTTTTTGTTAACAAATCTATCTTTTCGACTTCAATTGACCCCAGGATAAATACAAAAACACCAAAACCTTATTGCATATCCACAGGACACAATCATATTTCAGATGATGATTTGGCTACTGTAAAAAAAAGTAAGAGGAGTTTGAGGAAGATTGCAGTGTGTTAGACGGACAGACAGACGGACCTTAATTACATCAAATACCCAAACTTTCTCTGGAAAGTGCGGGTATATAAATGTAATGGGAAACATTTAAAATTAAAATACCAGGAGGGTAATTTGCATGACATAAAATGTATGTATATGTCTGTTTCTTGTAGTTACATTTAAGCGATCCTAAAGTGGGTCATATGTGGCATCACATCTGCCAAATTCCTTATACTTTGATAATTTATTTTAAAGAATATGGCAAAGGAGTATAAATATCCATTAATATATTTTAAATATGGTAACTTGTAATTCGTAAGGACTTTATTTTTGCTTAATTATGCGAGATCGACTGCCTGCTGGCGAATATTTTGTTCTTTCGTATATTTATAGTATAGAAGAGTACATTAAACAAAAACTTAAATTTATGAAATTTAATCTCAGTTACAAGTACCAAATAACTGTCTCGCTAATATAAGATTTCGCCAAAATTAAGTGATATACAGTATTAATTCTGGTTCCACATCATGCTTTTAAAAAGAAAATCTGCAGTACGTTTTATATTATGTATAGAAACTTATATCTTGTCGATTTCCTTCGTTGATGAAGAAACGAAACAAATACACGAATCCTTACCAGCGTCAACTTACAACTCCGAGACTTTTACTAATGATTCATTCTATGTAATAATCATCCTTTGACAGTTAACATGTGATTTCTTTTGGGAGCTTGAAATTTGATTGAATACTATCATGAGTATATTTTAATTTAGACAAGTACACCAGTACATA